TCTTCATTTATGAAGCAAAGTCACTTTCAAAGAGGACAGAAACAAAAAATAAATCAACCAGGATACCCAACATCTATATTAAGAGGTAGAGAGGATAACTTTCAATAACTTGTTTGTTGCCTTATGATATTTGAAAGGAAGAAGATATAGGATATTTAATCAGACTTATATGCTTCTTTTTATAAATATTCAAATTGATGATGGCAATATATGTTGTTTTGAGAATACATCTGTCGATAAGGAGAAATGACTAGAACATATGTTGTCCAATCTCTTTTTATCTGCAACCATTCAAAATGCTGAATTCTACATACACATATATAACAATCAATAAATGAGAACAAAGTTAGAACACGTTTTTGTCATAAAAGAGGAATGCCCATTTTCTTTCATAAAACAGATTTTTGCTTCACCTAAAGGATAAAAAATCTCTCAATAAACATGCTATTAAAGTATTCCAATGATTATCGTTTCACTGGTAGAATGGAGTCTCTTTATGATGGGTATTCTGACTAGTGTGAGTCCCATTCGATGTACTTTAGATGCAGAGATCCGCATAAATCCTTACAATAAATCCCTCCAATTTATCTTTCCCGATTCAAATCCGTCCAGGTAACTCATAGTCAATATGATTGACATACATTTTTGTGTAAATGGACATCCCTGATTTACCTTTAAGACTAATATCTGATGAGAATTTTTTTTCCACAAATCCCACTACATGTATTTATGTGAAGTTGTAGCGTATCAATGTTTTTCCAGATAATCCTTTGGTTACTCTCTCGTCGTATTCATTTACAGACTAAGTTAATCAATGTTATTAAGACAAAATGATTTACATTAACGATTATTAATACCAGTACTCTCAATTCTGAAATCTACACTTTGATTAATGAGCGAATTCCATTAAGATTTTTTTTAAAACATGTTCGTTAATCCGTTCTTCAGTCTTATGTTTAAAGATCATTAAATTAACGTATTTTCAACATCAGATTTGAAATGAGTTTACTACACACATTTTTAACATCTTTTCAGGGGGTACAGGATGTATTTCGTTTTAAGGTTTAATTGATAAACCAATACTTAATAGCCATTCTCTGTAACCACTTAAACTTTGTTGCCACGCATGGTCACCGATTTTGATGAAACTTCACCCATGCTTAGTACTTGACACCAGAAACAAATATCAAACAAAATTTCGTTGCTATGTGTCTCGGTTGCTATGGCAACAGCCAGAAAAGTTTGAAAAATCGAGATTTTCAGCCACTTTAAATCTTGACCATGGCTTAATAAAAACTAGAAAAAGCATACAAACCATTCTCACAAAAACATGACACCTTGATGTCACTTATACTGTAAAGAAACTGTTTAGAATATATCTCTAAGTAAGTGGTAACCAAGGGTACATTTGGAATACATTTAAAATGCTGAAATATGCTGCAAAACACTCCGTATTCACTAATGGTAGGTGTTACATGCTAAAACTCAATCAACGACTTAAGAAACACAATGAAAATGTTTGACCTTAAGTATATAAGTATGAGCAATATTATTCTATAAATAACTTTTATGGTTGCCATGGTAACACAGTGTAACCATGCAAAACCAGTAACTAAGATTGGGTTAATGCTACTGTCTTGAGGAAAAACATGAAAATTCAAGATTGGCAAATATGCATCCTTAGGACCTTGCAATACCAAAACCATAAGAAAAATTGGGTATAAATGCTACTTTGCAGTGTTACCATGGAAACAAAGTACCAGTGCTTAAAAGTGAATTATTTTTCGCTGCATTAAGAATTAAATTGCCATTTAATCAAGAAACAAATTAAAGGACTCAGCTTGAAAAGTACTTATCTGTTAGAACTGAAGTTGAATATCATATATTGATAAAATTTGATGAATAAAACAACACTGTTGCTATGGTTACCATGAAGGGAAAATGTTCGATTTTGTGAACTTTATATCAATATTAAACCCTGTGTGCCAACTTTTTGCATCCACTAAGAGATTGGATGACAGTCAAAATTAAAAGTCAAGTTAGCTGTTTATAAACATCAATCATAAAAGTTTTGGGAATCTACATTTAAGGGTACGTATCCAAGGAAAGAAAATATTTTTCAGGTTTTTAAGCATATTTTTTCTGCTTATTTCCATGGCAACGCTCTATTTAAAGAATCTAATCTGAATTTTTTCAAATGGGAAAACTTGGAGCACACCAACATCTTATAAAATTGATCATTAGTTATGAGGAAATGTGCTTTTTTTTAAAGATAGGATCAGATTTAAACATACAGAGTGTTACTTTGAAGGCTCCCTGTGGTATAAAAACCTTAGCAACCATTGCCAACCAAAATGAAATATCATATTTTGTTCTTGGTATATGTTTCAAGGCTTTTTTTCCATTATTTGGTCACATTTCATCCTATAATTGCTTTTTATTTTTACGTGTATGACTTTATAAAATTCAATGAATATTTTTTTTTAATTTTGAATACTTTGTTACCATAGTAACGTATGTAATAGTTGATTTACCAAACATGTTCATCATGCATTTGAGACATCTGACCTTCAACTTTTGGAAACAGTCACTGCCAATTGTTTGCTTTGCCGCAAATGTTAACTGTGGGGCTCTAAACATGTTAAAAAATGCCATTTTCCGAACTTTAAGACATGTTGCCATGGTAACTATAAAACATAGCAACCAATTTTTGCCTGATTTCAGTTTAGGGTATCGATGACTTTTATCATAAAGAGTTTGGAGAAATTCTGAGACTATGCGTGCCATAGCTCCTATATAAAATTTCAAATCATTACAGAGAATGGCTCTTAATTTCTCCACATGTACTACTATAAATGTTACAAAAAACGTAATCAGTGGGGGCAGAAGCGAACAACAAATAAACATTGTAAATATGTCTATTGCACCTCTGGGAATTTTGTGACGGTTTGGTTGATTAAAAAAAATCAGTCAAGGTCCATTATTATTCTTCAAGATACTCACTAAATGAAGCTTTACAGACATTCCGAGATTACAAGTATCAAACAGGTCTGAATACCCAATCATTATAAAGAACTCATTTAATGTTTTAGAGTGATAATTTATGTTGAAAAAACTGCTAATAAGTTTGACAAAATATCATTATGAAAGCAAAGTACTTCTATCATTAATGCCTCTAGGTAATAAATGTAGGTACTGTGCGCACGTGCACTGAGCTCACTAATGGTACCCCCGCCTCCAATATTGTTATGATGGCAAAGTCCATGTTTTGCTCTGGGGGACCCGAAATAAGTGTCAGATCGAAAAAAAGTAAAAAAGAGGCTGCCCAATGACATTATGTAATAAGAACCTGTAAAATTGTCATTAATTTTTATCCTGCGGTATAGGAGGATTTGTGGATAAGAGATGGGTACCCTTCAATATTATAGAAAGAATAACAGTGTCAATGTTTTACTACCGAAATAATTATGTTTCCGATCAAAAAGTAAAATAGAAGGTGTACAATAGCATATGTAACAAAAAAATCTGTGAAAATATCATTTAGATAAATTTCATTCTTTGGTATGAGAAAGAGAGTTGCGGATAAGAGATGGGTACCTCAAAGCGTAACAGACGGACGGACAGCTAGACAGACAGACGGACGGACATCCCGATCACTGTATACCCTCCCACTTTTCAAGGCCCGGGGGGTATTAATGATTTTAATTCTGACAATTGATACATCACATACCAATACTGAGAGAAATGAATTAATGTTATTTTTTATAATAATGAACAATACTGTGCTGTAAACAAACCGTCGATAAAAATTATCGAGAAACCACTTTGTGACGTAATCACAAGATGAAGGCGATATCGGAGAGGTGATGTTTCTTTTCTGGATGACGTGCATAATATCACTTAGGTGATGATAGATACAGTAAATTCAATTTACGTTCAATATTACTAGAGATACTGTGACCGTTGAGCTCACAAAATGATACCCCAAGCCTCCCATATGATTATAATGACAAAGCCCATGTTTTTCTCTGGGAAACCAAAAAAATTAGTTCAAATTAAAAAGTAAAATAAAGGTACACAGTTTCAATAAATATGTAACAAAGAATCTATGAAAGTATCATTAAATTTTATTCAGTGGTATAAGAGGAGTTGCGGGTAAGAGATTGGTACCCTTCTATATAACAGAAAGAATGGCAGTGTCCGTCCATGTTTTGCTATGGGGAACTGGGAGACCGAAAATATGTGTAAGATAAAAAAGTAAAATAGGAACTACAAAACGACACTTTGTAACAAAACATATCCGAAAGTCTCGTTAAATTTTATTCGGTGGTAAAATAAGAGTAGTTGCAGATAGGAGATGGGTACCCCAAAGCGTAACGGAGATCATGACGGACGGACATCCCTATCACTATATACCGGGGTATATCCACCAACTTTTCAAGCGGGAATATAATACACATATGTTCAGTAGACGAGATAGTTCGAATTCAACACCAGAGATGTTGTTACTTTGAAATGTACTGGGGCAATTAAAAAATTTACATGCCGGTATTTGTAAGGACATAAAAGTTTACTTTAAGACTGGATATCGACCAAATGTTGAATAGAATGTGTGTATCACATAGGAAGACGTCCCAATATTAGTACTAAATATCTATTCACCTTTGTTAAAAGACAAATAAAATGTTTGAAATTTTGAAAAAGAAATGCACATGATGACAAGGGAAGTGTTGTGGCTGTGATTCATCTGTAAATAATTGATAATGACGATTGATTAAATTAATTAATCTACCTTCATTTAAAAGTGGCACACTTCATATTCATCAACCGTACTTACATTCCTGTAACTGAATTAAGACTTCTTGAAAAGGAACGATCCTTGTTTTTCCCACGTATTATTCTATCATCTTTTTAATTTTGAATTTTCTACCTGGCGTCATTTCTTGGGAATGCAATATCTGGAAAATCTTAAGTATAAAATAAAGATTTTTTTTATTCAGAACAGCAAATGACGGCTCGAGAGGCATTGGAATACGTAGCTTACGTGGAAAGCCATAACTGTACAGTTGGAACGGGAAATTACCTCCAGCTCCATTTCGACGCATCAGTATGGAGCACGTATGCCCTTGCTGCGGTGCGAACTGCTAATTTTCTTTCAAAACTTATTACTTCTAACAACAACACGATGTCTGCACTTTCTGACAATCTCCTGTACTCTCTTGTGAGGAACAATGTCCATTTGAAGTCTGTGATATTTGGATCCGCCATCGCCTTTGAACCTGATATCTCACTTTCTTATCCTCTCTATTGTCCCTACGCATACAAACAAACCAACAACTCAACAGTAACGGTCAATGCCATGGACCTCTCGGTCAATTACAACTACACTGACCCCGAAACGGAATGGTACCACGAACTCCGCCTCCTAGACTATTCAAACATTTCCTTAGTGACTGATCAAGTTCAACATAGGTATATATACCGGTATTGCATGCAATTCAATTCACAGTTTCTGTGTCCCATTTAATATTTCTGTATTTTGGCAAATATTTCATTCTACGAAGTTGATTAATTTGTAAATGATGTTCCTATATAATCCATACATTTACATTGATGCAAGGATAATATAAATCCAGGTTTACCTTAATTATATTCTCTGCAATAATGTTTTAGATAATGCAGAGGACCGATGCAAAGATCAGTCGCTAAGTATTTTCTCAAACTCAGT